TTTTGAATTAATTAGGCTAGAAGCCATCTTGAATTGATTAACCTCGAATCCATTTTGAATTGATTAACTTAGAGGCCATTTTGAATTGATTAGCTTGGAAGCCATTTTGAATTRTTTAATTCACTGCCAAACATCGCAAACATTTTYCATAAAAGATGCATTTAYTTGTTTAGTGTCCTAAGAAATGGTGGCAAATATAGAAAGATTTATGTTTTATTGTTAGCCTAAAGATAGTTTTTTCACCAGCAAAGAAACTTTCGACAAGTGCAAGTGCYGCTGTAATAATGTCAACAASTATATTTGGCTGCGTAATCATTCACCAAATATAGGAAATTTTAGTGTTCTAGGGAGCAAAACAGTTCAGTACACTGTTATGTCAAAGCAAACAAACTTTTAGTCAATTCATTTCATTTCTGAGCTTCAAGCAGTGGTTAGTACAACTATAGAGGCAGAACGTCCTCTTTTGATTTCTTGTCAAAAGTATAAACTTTGTACTTCTGAGGTTTGGCGTTTCTTCCCATCTTCAATGAGTCACCTTTCACCTCTAGATCATTAATATTATGTACTTTTATATTGCTAAGTTCTTATTTGCTCAGTTCACTGCTTTGTACATTTTGTATTCGCCATCTTTCTGGCTTGTACATTTGATTCACTGTCAATTTTGATGTAATTTGGTAAATTTCCTAACTGCACGAAAAAAAAATTCAACAATTTGAACACAAGTAAAATCTTTTCATTTTTCTGCAGATTTGTTGATAAAGAGATTTGAAAAATATAATTTTTGAAGACTTCAGATCCTTGTTTATGTAATATTGCTTTGTTTCTTTATAAATGGCTTCAACAGAGACATTTGCAGAGACTGAAATATATTTTGTAAACTTTGAAACAACAGCTCAAAAGATTTTGTGCTTTTCTATTTAGTTACGGTAATTTTACCTCACTTGAATTAATGCCTTGCTCTTGACAAGTACTTTGTTGTTGTTGTTTTTTTTTTTGAAAACTGCTCTGATTCAAGTCTCATTTACCATCACAGGATTTGACACATTTTAGTGAATCCTTTTCTAATATCTCATCTCAAGTCACATCAGTAGCATTTTACATTGTTATGTTATAAATTAAGTTGTTTAGGGATCCGAGGTCTTCACTTTGCTGGTGAAAAAACTTCAATTAAATTGTAATCTGTGGTAGAGGCCATTTTAAACAGCTGCCGACAACATTTAAACCCTCAATATTATCCCAGAAAAGAAGATTTTTAAGTCTTCCATGTCAGTTTGATAATCACTTAGTTTGGAGAAGTCTGAATGAAGCATCACTTCAAGCCTACTGATCACCCAGWACATCACTGCCATGCACACCAGTGAATGGTGGGGCAGGGTCACCSGAGACTCACATTTGCACYGACCCTCACCTTAWTTGCTGACTTGAATGGCATCAGAGTTCYCCCTTGGAGTCTGYAGTGGGTGKCGGTTCRACATTMATGCAGTCAGTCTCCAGTATCAGGGCAGTCTTAGGTTTGCTGGTCTTGGCCTTATAACCGGTTGGCTCTAGTCAGGGCAGCGAGACTACCAAAGAGATTAGGCCTGCTGGGGTGGCTTCTCTTTTGGTGCTGGCAGGGCCTCAGGGAGGCATGTTCTTTATTTCCATTTTGACAATGAAAAGCAATAGATACAGGAGAGTGYCCTATCAATCAAACACAAAATCTCTGGCAGATGAAACCCTAAGCAAGTTTGAATTGAGCTGAAACAAAATATACTAGTGACAGAAATGTGCTCTGAACACTGTATATAAAATCAACTTTCCRTTAGCTTAACCTAAAAGGACACTCTCCTGTACCTACTGCTTTGGGTTGGRGGACTGGCAGCACGTGTATTGGTCATTTTGTCAACTATATCTTGTCAGATGTGTCATTCTATGACACTTCCTCGAACTTCATTGGACTTCTACCGAGTGGAAATCATCTTGCAAAAAGAAACCTTAAAGAACCAGAAAACCTAACTTAACCTTAAAAGCCAGTCCCCCAACCCCCCAAAAAACTCTAGATTCAATCCTTATTTTTATGGAGTTTCAGTCCTAAGAAACCTATTGTAGAATGACTGCACTCCACTTCTCAGAAAGTTCATTGTCCTCAAGGTAATTCTGGCAGCTCTGGGTTTGTTAGATCTCAGAAAGATCATTCATCATATCTGTAAAGAGAAATAAAAGAGTTATGAGTGCTTGGTTGTAAAATATGCTAAATGCATCAAAAGAATAAACATACTGACAATGTTGTCAGACAAGACATTTGCTTTCACAGCATACACCATTTAATGATTCCCAATAAAATTKGACAATATTTATAAATCATTAAATAATAAATTACCTGAATGTAAGTTYGGCCAGACTGTACATTTGTAYTTGGCTGACGGCACTGCTGAGCAGCTCAGGTGGTGACAGATGATTGACATCTTGTCATGGTTTTCAAATGTGCTAAAGCACAGCTACAGCAATGTTCATGGGTATCACATGTCAGCCGGTGTAATTATTGTCTATGTATCTGATATTAGACGGTTATGCTGCATTCTTTGTAGCCTGAGTGCAGGCTGCATGTTACAGGTATGTTACACTGTCTGGAACAGGACCTGATTTCCTTTGTGTATTTCCTTTAAAAGCAAATAAAATGATCAKAATGATGATGAAAATACTGTCCACATGAACTATAGTAGGGTTATATAATCAAGATAGATTGCAAGGGCTKGAATTTCGTGAATTTATTTCATTTCCATAACAAAAAAGATGAAATAAACAACATTTGAAACTCGCGCCATTAATATACCTCGAACATGCAATTCTTTCGCTTTTTCTTACCTTTTTTGGCTCCAAAACGTCCATAAATCGTTTAAATACATTTATATGACCGCATCTGGTCTTCTTTCAGCTTTTAAAGCTGTAAAATACAGCATTTTTTGCAGCACTTTCCGCCATGTTTTCTTGTTTCCACGTGTTGGACGTGGCATTCTAGTCACGTGATCGGAGCCTGGTAACTAATCCCGACAAATCCCGAGGGTTGTCCCGCAAAACGGCCATYTTTTAAATGAACAAATTATCGAAAGGTCTTACATAATCTTTATTTGATGAGTTTTACACCAAATATTTGAATTATTTCATTATTGCTAGTTCGTGACTGTAACCATAGGGCCATTTTTTTTGTCTCCGCAAGAGCGCAATTCAATCTTGGGTATATGAGGTATTTTGCTCTTATGAATAAAATAGGCGGTACTGCATTATTTTTCAGTAATAGGGTGGCGAATCCATATAAGCCTACGTCAAGCTACACTACAAAAAAATCGGGATATCCGCAGGCTACGGTCAGTTCAATGAAAAAACGCAACAATTATACATTGGTGAGTCTGTCAAAGTTACTTCGAACGATGAAAGTGTTCGCCAATGGTACAAGTGGCCGAGGAGGGGGGAAGTTTATGAGGGCTGGCAGAATTCCCGTTACCGTCAAGGTGTCAAGTCGTGCTTAAAGCCATGCACCATATTGAGTAAATGAAGGGACACTCATCCARTATTTCAGCTTTAATGGCTATATATGAAATTTTAGAATCTTTGTAACTATCATTAGACAAAGATAGATAACATATCTTTAAAAAAAAACATAATATATTTGGCATTTTTACATTTATTGAAATTTCTTAATACATACATTAGACCACATTACATTTGCGTGCAACAACGTATCTGTGCTGTGCGCCAGAATCTCACTGTTGTCTCTCGTCACCGTGTTGTTGCTTTTTTTGTTGTTTTTGTTTTTGTTGTTGTCGTTATTCTTATTGCTGTTTTTTTCGTTTTTCGTTTTTGCTTTTTGGATTTTGCTTTTGTCTTTACCCGCCTACACTTTCATCCAAATTAATGTAATTCTCGCCGTTACATTTAAGTGAGTGTGTATGCTAGCTTTTGTTCATTTTTTCACTTGGTCTTCTTTYCCTCAGGCAGTCTTTCATTCAAATATATTCCTCTACATAAATTTCCCTTTGACGACTTTCCTTGACAGAGCCATTACCATTAACTGCGAAATATAAAAAAATATATATCAATTACTAAATATATATTCATACTTTCATAAAATATGCAATATTTGCCTCAACAGSCACTTGCAAAGTGAGGAAACGTCATATATACGCATAAAACATTTCTATTTTATCCAAGGGGCAGACAAGTTGATAAAATACYTGCCATTTTGTCAGTTTTAGTCAGAAAGCAATTAAAACACGTTACAATAGTATATGTTTTGGATAAGTGTTTCCTTGTTTTGTCTTACCACAATGCAAAACAGTGCTCTTCATTGTCTCAGCCACAAATGTAGTCAGTGTTTGGCTATGTTGCTAAGTATTTTTYCCATGCCAAATCGACCCTTCCTTCCCTCAACTTTTTAAATATTTTCAGTGGGAAAATGTTTTGTTATGTCAACCTTAAGGAACAATAGGTGATATTGCCGTCATCTTCAATTACGCCATTTTTTCTTTTTCTTTTCTTTTCMTTTTTTTGTAGGGGGGASGGGATGGGGTTAGAAACTGGTTGCCTTTAGGACTATTTCTCTAGAATGTACAGACYGTAAATATTTTTGGCCTCAGCACTAATGCCACCGTCATAAACTATGAGAAATGGTAAGTTCCAATCTCATGCACCCAGAATAATACAATTATCAATAGAAAAAAGTTCTGCATCTTGCARTTCAAACGATGACAGTGCGGTACTATTGAAGATAGTCTTAAGCAAACTTGTGTTTCTAGAACATTCTACTTTAAGCGCAAACATCTTCATTAACGTGATACTTTGAAAATGTCATGAGTCTAGTTGTAAGAATGTTCGTCTCATGCGGAGATACTTAAAAAATAGCTTTTACAAACTATGACAAGGCGATTTTACGATTTGAGTCATGTGAAAAATTAATATGTCAGGTTTTTTTTCAGCTTGTGGCACACAACGGGTTTCCTAATTTGTCGACACTAGCGTTATTTGACAGATTTTCACAAAATTATTCAAATAAGGTATAACGCTGAACTTGGCAATAGTTTGTTAGCTAACTACCTTTGACAGAGAAAGGAATTGAGAGAAAAGAATTGATTACAAGTAAAAATATTCACTTCGAATTTTACCATTTTACAGACTTTTCCCTATATTTCCTCCTTGCATACGGGCATTAAGCTTTCCCATTTTAGTACTTCAGACAATAAGATTCTTTTTTGCTCAATTCTAATTAATCATAGAGGATTTTATTTCGTTTTTTAGAGAGCAAGAACCAATTAAAACTTCCGCTTGATTCTCAATTTTGGAGGCAAGTCATCCTGCACTTGKTAAACCTGCCACAAATTAGCTAAACATATTACATTCGACTGGCGCGACACCTGMTTGCATGCAGTGGACGAGCCCAATTTGTAATAATATTAAGTATTTTATATCTTAATATGTCATTCATGAATTGGTAATAATTCGTGTGGAATTGGAGGTATCCCTTAATCACACAAGCTCAAGCACTGAACTTGATGAGAATCGATTCAAGAACTTTGTTGACATTTTGCGGCAAGCCGCTGATGAAACTGTCATTTCCTGGAGGAAGAGCTCAACCACAAACCATACAAGTGAAAATACCAATTGGTACTTCCAAGTGAAACTACTAAGACTTCAAGAGATAAGGACAGAGTCTGAGCAATTCTGAAGAAGAATCTGTTGGGAAACTTACGCAAGAACAACTAGTGCGCAATTTCGCACAACTACATGAGCTCACGAAAGGGAATGTTTCTCAAGTATAAGGTATTGTTATATTATTATCTACATTCAAAATCGATCACTACTTAGAAGACATACGCTTTAACTGAGCATATCATCAAATCATTACATTGACAAAAAAAATGAAACTAGATTGACGACGTAACGTTAAGTTACTAATATTGAATAAGATGTTTATATGGCATACTGGTAAAACGATATCACTTTATTCAGAAGATGATACACACTACGATTGAAGTAACTACCAATTAAAATCATATAAAACTCTTCAATGAATATTAGTGTATCAATACAACATTAGTCCAGCGCGTTGAATTTTCCCATTCAGAAAGTTCACAAGCCAATTTTCCCTATTTGATTGTATGAGTTCCAGTTATGAACTTCTTCACATTATAACAATTTCACATGTTATTGCTTTCCTATTGATTCTCGTTAGAAAACAATCTATTTGAAAGAGAAACCTATCAAGTGTTAATTAAGTGAAGCCACTAAAATGTTTCCAACATACGAAAAAGCMATTCAACAGTCATTCAATAGTAGTTCATCATAAACAAACATTTTCAATCTTTTCACTAGCAAATCTTTTTTTCATTTTGTAATTTATATATAATAACTTGTTTCTTGTGGTAATCTGCGAGTCTTTTTTTGGTAAAATGTCATGGCATACTTTCATGTTTGTTCAGAAAAATAATAAAATTCAAAGTCCGTTTATTAATAAAAATGACACATTCATTAAAACTTATTCTTAAGCTTATATAATACTAACACTAGATCTGCCGAAGACTGAAGCCCATCCAAGATGAATTGCCAAGTGATATTTTAGTTTTCCATTTCACAATCAGGAATGTTCAACGATTTCGTGCGGGCATATTGATTAATGTTGATGCGAATAATTGCCATGATTGGATGAAGATATTGATAGTCACGATGATATATGATAAATTAATAATTTATGTAATATAAATCAACATGAATCATGGATTTCAAAGTACTTGATAGCAGGTGGTTCATATATCTTGAGTTAACGCGAAATGTGAACTCGATGCGCAAAATACAACAAGTTGATATTGACTGAGCACAATCTGAATTCCCAAGAATCGATTCAAAGTTCAGTTTCGGCGTCGACGGAAATCAAGGACTGTGACCTCAAAGTACATAGAACGGTTTTTGTTATCTTGAGATGAAGACGCCACTTAAGTCCACAATTTGGTTTAATAGTGTTGAAATATAAAGCGCTCTTTTGGGCCATTTAATCAGAGCGCACGCATAAGAAGGGGGTTTTGTCGTTCTCTGATCAGTATTAGAACACGATTGACCGGAGAGCACGAAAGAAGTGATAAGAGAAGCATAAGCTATGTAGAARGGCAAACTACAAACTGCAAGCTGTCTATTCTCCTAATTTTTGTGTAGTCTCTTCATTTTCAAGAGTATTTTCTTCCTGAATGGAGCATGGCTAAGCCTTTCCTGCAATCACTGCCAAAATGCTTGCACTATTCAAGTGATTTAAGCATCAATGTCTGATGTATCTGATGTATCTGTTTCAATGGACAAAAATAGTTAAGATCTTCGTTAATATTTTAAAGATGTCCTTGCTAATCTGAGCGCGCGCAGTATGTTAAGTACACAATTAACAAATTTCACCATTTGATATCATTATTGCTTTTTTCAGCATCTTCCTGAAAACTTCATTCTCATGGCTGGCAAAGAGTTCCTAAATTCATACGTCCAAAGAAGTTCATCGAGCTACAGAATGCCTTTCGTGAAGTGCTAAAAACAAGAAACAACATTCTCCAAGATTATAACGTCTTTAGCAAATGTGTGCATGTATGTACAACAGAATTCAACCACAGAGGTGACACCACAGTCCAACGACTCAGCGGTCGTAGTTAATAATATTGARCATGCGTCAATGAATTACCCAGTGTTATGTGCGGTATTTGGAATACTAGGACTGTATGGTTTGGGGTTCCTGTGGATCAGGAGAGTTCGCTCAAAAGAGCAAGTCAAGGTGAGTGATACTTTTTCACACATGTAATTGTGCATCGACTGTACTAGTGGATCAAGATGGTGGGCTCACGGAGTGTGCGCCTCTATTTTATAACTCCTTTGTGACTACTTGCTTCAGTGATAACCACCACAGAAGATTACCCTGGGTTCTCGAGGATGCATTTTCGAGAAATTACCTGGACCCCCCAATAAAGAAAGTCCTGAATCCGCGAAAGAAATGAATAGTACTTGGTGACTTCAAACTAGAAATCATCATCATCATCATCATCAATACCATCATCATCATCATCATATTTCCCCACTTGTCACCAATAGTCGCCTTAGGGAGCCCATACATGGAACGCATAAGCATTCGCTTTTCTTCATCATTATCATCCTAATCCAAGTATCATTTCTATATCGTTCCAAACAGTCTTAGACGCTCTGCATACATCAATCACAAACTCTGCTCTGATGATAATGATAGTGATGAATTATTATGATACTGATCAATGTTAGAACTTTTAATTCTCTTTTCCAGATCGGAGCCACTGTCATCCCACATCGMTCYTACCACCGGAAACCACACCATTATTTACTCTTATTCTACACCGGMAGTGGACGTCACGCGGGAACCACAGCCAACGTCTACTGCGTCATCCACAGCAAACAGAAGAAGACCAATCCCATAGTGCTACGCGATCCTGAGCGATTGCTCTTCCAATCAGGGACCATTACGTCATTCTTAGTAACTCTCAACCAATCACTGGATCAAATCACCAAGCTGCATCTATGGCACGACATCAGCGGTCCCAACCCCTCGTGGTTTCTCGAACGAGTCGTCGTGTGCCATCTGAATTTTGGGGCTTCKTGGTTTTTYGAAGCAAACCGCTGGCTTGATGTYTCGGGTGGGGAAATAGTGGAATGCACCCTGGAGGCCCTGCCTAGATCCACTTACCTAAACCGAAAGACTCTATTTGATAAAACCTTTGCAGRAAGCTTTAAGAATAGGCATATATGGTTTTCACCATACCTYCTTCRATGCAGAACTACTTTCACGAGAATCGAGAGGCTAGCAACGTGTTTATCGGTTACTATGACAACTATTGTCATAGCTACAATTGTTATAAATTCCACACTTGACGGAGATCCACTTCCGAACGGTGCTATTAAGATGGGCCCACTAGAGTTTCGCGTCAGCAACATATTGTGGGGTGYTATAAGCAGTATTGTGCCGTTYTCTTTACGACTTATATTAGAAATGTTCTTTACTTATTCTGAAAAAGAGAACAACTTGGMAGCAGACGAAAATGACGTACAAGGWTACATTGACGACTGTTTGAGAAAAGCTCACCAAATAACAATCCTTGAAGGACARTCAAACCTCTCAKGTCATAGTGACAACAACCTTGGCTCRAAAACTCTACAGGACGAAATYGGTCCAATGGAATTGCAAAGCGTACTTAGCTCAGAAAGGGAATACTTCTTCGACAACGATGAATCTCTTTGTGATGTATCGTTACGAGAAGTAGGACTTGACTTCAGTGACAGTAACARTTCTTTAATAACATCACCGATGGGATCTTTCCGRGAAAATGAAGATGTAARCAATGCCGCACAWATCGTTGATAAAGAAAGAAGGCAAGACGAAGATGCCACAAATGACCACGAAAAAATGACAATACACGAAGACACATTAAATGTACATGAGAAAGGCGAMAACAAACAAAACGGTGAAGAAGTCTCACGCGAAAATGAAAGCCATGAACATAAACTGTACATAAATGAAGGTTTCCCAAGTGGAGAATGCCTGAATGGGATATGTTTGAATGACAATGAACAACTTGCTGGGGAAGTTATGGTAGGCAACGGTACATGCATACAAGAAACAAGGGATGATTTTGAAAATGAAATTGAAAACGTGTCAATTCAAAATGGCCCTCACGAAGAAAACAAAGAGACGCACCTCAATTTTAAATACACCAGCACTCTGACTAACACAGATAAGGTCCCCAAACTATGGAAAATGCTGCCATTACCAGATTTCCTGATTGATCCGACCTCAGTCAAAATACGCAATGACAAAAACACGYTCAGACTTMAACGYAGRWACTTTCTCATCGCTGTGTCAATCTGCGTATTAATGACACTCATTTCAACAATAGTCTCCATACGCTACGGATTCTTCTGGTCAACAAACACGACAATTTCGTGGCTCATAACAATCGCACTAGCACTGTTCTTCCAAGTGTTCGTGGCRGAATCTTTCCTCGTTTTCYTTCAATCTGTGTATTTTGCTGTCATTTTACAAAGGCCTACTGAAGAAAACGAYGTCATCAACGAACAAAAAAACAAAATTTGGTGCAAGGAAGAAGATGACGTAAGATATTACGTGGATGAYTTAGACGACAAAACCTCTCCCATTCCCAGTCCGCCGRCGGAGGAGGAAGTGAAAAACGCGCGCGAAAAAGCAGGACAGGATCGTCAACTTGAGGAAGTTCTGGTAATGGTGGCGTTTAATGTGTTGTTTTTGATTCAGTTGGTWATTATAGGATTTGGGAATCGTGACGTAGAGAGCTATCCCATGAGATTAGTGGTAGAGGGAAATTTTAACATCCCAAAATTCAATTTGGTGAGTACAAGTGCGTAAATGATTTGATGGATGGGTGAATACATTGAGTGATGAATGGAAGGAAGAATGGATTAAAAAATGAATGGGTGAAGGACAAACAGTGACACTTAGACGGATATATATTCATGTTAACAACGACAGATTAGTGCGTTGATGATGATGATCAAGGAATATACACTGACGCGTAGATGGATATATGTTGATGTTAACAGCAATATGACTGGCAAGATTCATAGACGAGTGAAGTAATACACAGGTGAATCAGTGCATAGGTGATGATGATGATGATGATGATGATGATGATGATGATGATGATGATGATGATGATGATGATGATGATGATGATGATGCATGCCGGATGATCAAATTATGGATACAGTTATTTATATTAATCTTTATGGATTTTACGACAGATTAATAATTCCAAACAATTCTGGAACTGGACGAAAACCGATCTAGTAGCTGGACTTTACTACGAAGGGAAGTTCAAAAAGAAAAACTCGAGACAGACTAGAGATGGTTATGGCACATTACTGGGTGTTCCAATACTGAGACAGCAGCGCATCAAACCTCACGGTA